ATATATATATATATATATAAGCCATCCTTGAAGCTTAAACAATATTTGGTATTCAAATTGTTTGTTTTATGTTTATGGTTAGTTACTGAGCCCTCTCAAAATTTCAGATTTATAGCAGCCTCTTACCCCGTGCAGTCAGAGGTCTGTTATAACGTGGCAACAGGCTCAGACTCCAGGACATCCATAGTGGCATTCTCTGACTCCAGGATGAACAGAGCAGCAGGTTCTGGCTCCAGGACAAACATAGCAGATAGGTCTGGCTCCACAATAAGAGTGGGCTCTAGCTCTGGGTCCATGGCGGGTATGGGCTCTGGCTCCGAGACCAGAGGTGCACTGATAGATTAGAGGTAGGCAGGACTGGATGGGGAATGGAATGTTACAAGAAGGCATCCTCCTTGACCTCCTCCACTGTTAGGGAGGAGCCAGTCAACCAGAAGTGGAACAGTGGGAAACTGGTATTCCTCATTGGCATGGACTAAAGGAAGTAATCGTTGAGCCTGCTCCAGAGGCACATCTTCAAATTTTCCTTATTCAAACAAACCTGATGGCAGAAATCCTTCAGCGGCCAACCCCTCTTATAAGGGGACAAAACTGAGCTTTCGGTCTGGTATTTTGTAAACCGCAAACAGGAACTTAACACAGGAGCCGAAGGAAACAAAAAATACACACCAACTTAAAAAATCCTCAAAAACAAACACACAACTGTTGCAGGAAGTTTTATCAAATTAGTGACACAGGTGAGTCAAAAAGAGGTGCTGAACGCTGGTCAAAGGATACAACAGTGGATGACAACAGTGGAATGAATAGTAGGCAGACAATGTAATGAACACTCTGTGCAGTGTCAAAGAACGATATTGGAAGTATCCACAGAGGAGGACAGTGAGTATCACAATGGCAGAAAATAAGTATCAAAAGAGGAAGACAGTATATATCGAAACTGGACAAAGAGAAAACACTGCATGGTGGCAGCATGGTCAGTCAAACTTTGGACATGGACTCTTGAGAGAGACTTGACAATGAGTGCGATTAAGATGTATTTAAAGCGTCTTTGATGAGTGTGCTGACTGTGTGAAGATTTGACTGTTTATAAATACAGAAAGAGGGAATTGATCTTGGAAGGAGTTGGAAAGCCAGAAGGCATGACAATACGCCCCCTCCATGGGCCGTTCTGGAGGTTCAAAGACTCCACTGGAGCAGACAACGGAATCCACACAGAGCTGGGCAGTGACAATGTTCTGTGTGGAAGGTAAAACGCAGGTGTGCAGTCTCGAGCTACCCAAAACCTCTCTTCTGGTCTGTACCATTTCCAGGCCAAGAGGTGCTTGAGACAACCCCTCTGGCACGGGGATTCCAGGATGTTCATCACAGTGTACACAGAACTCTAACCGCAAAGCACGGCCCTAAAAGTACAACCCTAAAATATGTTGGATTGATTTATTATAATATAGTGAAGGGACAAATGTATTGGGGTCTTAACTTTCAGCTGGAAAGTTAGAGCCAAATGTCCCTTGTGGAAAGCCAGACCTTCTGTCTGGGTTGGTACGTAGGTGGATCATATCTAGCTCTTCTGGTTCTTTGTAAGTGGCCATGCCCCTGGTTCCAGACTTTCTTGCTTTCCTGAAACCAGTGATCAACTGTAGAGACGTCTGATGGCTCACCAGACCATGGGAACAGGGGTGGTTGTAATCTAGCACACACTGAAATGAAATTATTCCAGTGGCACATGAAATTCTGGATATATTCCACCCATGGAAGATAACAACTCCAGGATTTCAGTTAATGGTTGCATTATGTGTGTAAAAAATTCTCCATTTGCCCATTCAACTGAGGATGGTAGCCACATGACAAACTGATGGACACACTCAGTATTTAGAAAAAGGCTTGACAGACCTTTGAGATAAACTGTGGACCATGGTCTGACACAATGTCTTCTGAGATGCCGTAGTTCTGAAAGGCATGATAATATCATCTCGATGGTAGTATGCTTGAACTTGAAGTGGGACTAGATGAAAGGCTTTCATAAACCAGTCCAAAGTGACATGGATGCATGCATACTGTTAAGATGGTGGAAGTTCAGAAACAAAGTCCACTCGCAGATGTGACCATGGGCACTGAGTAATGGGAAATGGGATGAGTTTACTGGCTGGGAATTACAGAGGGACTTTTGCCATGGTGCAGTGTACATTTCTGAATGTAACACCAACCATCTCTTGGCAATTCAACTCCTTGCTGAAATAATCCAAATCCTTGCTGAGATAATGGCCAATTGGAATTACACTTTTGTCTTATTAGGGGGAAAAATATCAGAGTTGGTGGGGGGGAACTGGATTTCCTTATTTCATCACAGATTTATATTGGTAAAATGTGAGGCACTCATCCTCTGCCCCACTAGCCTACATGCCAAAGCCATAAACAAAATTTTTAAATATCCAACTCACTTTGCAACTTAAAATAGTCTATGAACTCTATAAAATATATCTCTAAAATACATCTTTGCAGAATGCAGAATACATTTATGAGACAGCTCTGCCGGGCTCCCTCATCCCTTCGGCTCCAACTTGGTCAGTCGTTGACCATCCGCCGCCTCAGGACTCCACTCCTTCTGCTGCACCTTGTCCCTCCGTCCCTCTGGCTCTGTCAGGTTCCACCTTCCCTTTGGCTCTACCTTGGTCCTCAGTCGCTCCTTGGTCACCGGAGCCATCTGCTCTGCCTTGACCCTCCGGATCCTCTGCGTCGCCCTGGCTCGTCGGCTCTCCGTCTCGGGCTCCACCATCACCTGCTCCGCCGCCGTCGGTCGGCCCGCTGGAGTTGTCAGCCCTTCCTCCACCTTGGCTCCTCCCTCCTTCAGGCTCCACCGTGGGTCGCCTTCATCGCTGCGGCCTGGGTCCTGCCTGGCTCCTCCAGCTCAAAGTCATTCCTGTCTTCTCCCTGGCTCCTCCCTCCATCTGATCCGCCCTGGCTCCTCCTGTTTTCTCCATGGCTCCTCCCTCCATCGTCTCCTTCCTGGACTCTGTCTGTCATCCTCCTCCCGGGAGTCCGTCCTCTGCCCGAACCTCCACCTATACTGTCTGCCTACCTTCCTGCCAGCCCTTTGCCATCCCCTGTCACCATCCCACATCCGCTCCTTTGTCCTCCTTCTTAGTCCCCCTCTGTCCCTCCCTTTGTTTTCTGCGGCGCGAGGTCATGCCTTCCGGGAGGGGGGCGAACTGTCACACATATGAACTGTTTTGTTGCGCTTTCATTCCTCATGTGTTCTGTGACCCAGTTTTTTCCCATGTTTGATTATGTTCACCTGTGTCCTCATTAGTTGATCCTCCTCACCTGTCTGTCCCTCATTAGCACCCCTACTTTAGTTCTAGTCTGTTCAGTTGTCCCTTGTCCGGTATTGTGAATGTTTCCTACGTGTGTCTCCTGCCTGCCTTTTGTGAATTACCCTCTTGTGGATTATTAAAAGACTATTTGCCTTCATCTTCTTTGTGCGTGAGTTTATCTTAGACACCTGTTGCATGACAGTAGCTACTGTAGCTTTGAGGGTTTTTTTTCCTTCAGAAACTGTGGTACTTTTTCTCAAAGTAGCTTGTTTCTCCATTTAATCTTTCAAATGCTCAAAATAGCTAATGTCTTTTTTTTTAAATTAGTGAATTTTTTTTCAATAAACCTTCCTGTTAATTTTATTTATTTTTAAAATAATGTTAATCTTGGTAGCCAGTAATTCGCTCCACAAAGCATACTTTATCCAAATGTGTATCCATGTTGCAAGTGAACACATATTTAATGTCATCTGTGTTGTTTTTTCTCTAACCTTGCATAGTTTTATGGTCTACAAGGATAAGGACGTCTCTTAAAAGGGGCTTACACACCGCGTAATTCTAGGAACTTAGTTCTAGGAACTAGCCAGCGGGTGGTTCCTAGAGAACTAATTTCTCCCTCGGGCCGTTTTCCTGGTTACATTCGCACTGGCAGCGAAGTCTTTATGTGCGGCATTTACATACGTCAACAACAGGTGAATGGAGGATCCCATGATCGGAGCTGGTTTTGTTGTGTGTTTTAGGTTGGAATGTAAATGCACAATTTACATGATCGAAATCTCCTATGACAACTTGCAGTGTTACATATCGAGGCTGAGAAAAGAACACAACACTGCAGACAACAGGTAAATGCCATTATCACTGTTTTCCATGTTCATGGAGTAAGTATTTTTACATGGCTTTTTAAAAACGCCGTGTAGCCGGTGTTTCGTATGCGTTTGACCAATCAGCGTACACTTACATCACTGGTAGTTCCTATAGAACTGTTTTAAACCCTACTCCGAAGTAGGAGCTAATTTAGTTCCTCCAAATGGAGTTCCTAGAACTAAAACCGTTCCTAGTTCCTGCAGTGCGAACACGCCAAAAAGCGGGTACTTCCGCCAATAGTTCCTCCGGTGCCAAAGCCCCTAATCTGTCCTTGGTATCTGGATAATTTGCCTAGGTTCTACCAAGTGATAGATGAATTTGAATGAAAAGACATTTGGGAATAATTTGGAATAGCATTTCTCCTCTCATTTAAAAGTTGATAAGCTTACAGAATTATACGGTTAGTTGTATGGTTTGGGGGCAGTCATGGCCTAATGTTTAGAGACTCAGACTTTAACCCAAAGGTTGCAGGTTCGAGTCTCAGGTCTGGCAGGAATTGTCGGTGAGGGGAGTGAATAACCAGCACTCTCTTCCACCCTCAATACCATGACTGAGGTGAGACCCTTGAGCAAGGCAACAAACCCCCAACTGCTCCTTGGGCACTGCAGCAATATAGCTGCAGGGATTGTAGGTGGGGGGACTGAATAACAAGCGACTGAGGTGAGACCCTTGAGCAAAGCACCAAACCCCCAACTGCTCCTTGGGCGCTGCAGCAATATAGCTGCCCACTGCTCCAGGTGTGTTCACTACTGTGTGTGTGCGCTTGGATGGGTTAAATGCAGAGCACAAATTCCGAGTATGGGTTGCCTCACTTCACTTCATTATTTTACTTACATTTGATTATAGTTCCCCCCCCC